AGACAGGAACTGCTTCTTTAAGAAGGTAAATCCTCACAGCTATGAATATGAGGGCTAAAGAGATGACTCATCCGTTAAGTGTACCTGTCATTCTTGCAGAAGACCCAGGTTCAGCTTCCAACACTCACATGAGGACTATTATTTATAACTAAATCTCACAGCATCCAATGCTATCTTGTGGCTTCTGTGGCAACTGCATACACGTAGTATACATATGTGTAGGTAAAAACCCATTTACATACAATAAAATAAACCTAATTTTAAAACTACAAAAACATTCAAATATATTCAAACTGATAGAATTAATACAAACACTAATGCTTAACGAAATAATTCAATTGAGGCTCCATTTTCCATTTGCCCATCTAGGGAACAATAAAAATCCATATGATCCTCCAACTCCATTTATCCCACTGAGTTCAAATACCCGAAGCTCAAGTAAGTTCTCAGCAATCTCCATGGCAAACTGTGTAACTATATCTTAGAAATTATTCCTTGAAAACTTCATGTCAATTACATAGTTACATAACAAACAGCTTATGGGCAACCTGTGTAATATTCACGTTATTCCTAAACAAATGATAATAGACCCATGTTTATCACCCTGCACAAAACTAAAGTCCAAGTGGATCAAAGACCTCAACATAAAACCAGACAAACTATATCTGTTAGAAAAAAATTGGGGAAGAGCCCTGACCTCATTGGCACAGGAGAAAACTTCCTGAACAGAGCACCAACAGCACAGGCTCTAAGATCAACAAAAAATAAATGGGACCTCATGAAACTGAAAAGCTTCTGTAAAGCAAAAGACACCGTCATCAAAACAAAACGACAGCCTATAGATTGGGAAAGAATCTTCACCAACCCTACATCTGACAGAGGACTAATATCCAAAATATTTAAAGAGCTCAAGAAGTTAGAAAACAACAATTCAAATAAGCCAATTAAAAAATGGGGTACAGAGCTAAACAGGGAATTCTCAATAGAGGAATGTCAAATAGCAGAGAAACACTTAAAGAAATGCTCAACATCATTAGTCATCAGGGAAACGAAAATCAAAATGTTCCTGTGGTTCCATCTTTCACCCATTAGAATGGCTCAGATCAAAAACTCAAGAGATGATGCATGCTGGAGAGGATGTGGAGAAACGGAAAGCCTCCTCCATTCCTTGTACAAGCACTTTGGAAATCAATCTGGCACTTTCTCAGAAAATTAGGAATGGTACTTTCTCAAGATCCAGCTACAGCCCTCTTAGGCATATATCCACAAGATGCCCCACCATTCAATAAGGACATTTGCTCAACCATGTTCATAGCAGCTTTATTTGTAACAGCCAGAATCTGGAAACAAGCTAGATGTCCCTCAGCAGAGAAATGGATATGGAAAGTGTGGTACATTTACACAATGGAATACCACTCAGTAATTAAAAACAAGGAAATCATAAAATTTACAGACAAATAGTAGGAACTAGAAAAGATCATCCTGAGTGAGTTATCACAGAAGCAGAAAGACACATATGATATTTATATACTCACTTATAAGTGGATATTAGCCGTATAATAGAGGATAAACATAGAAAAATCTATAGCCTTAAAGAAGCTAAACAACAAGGAAGACCCTTGGGAAGATGCTTAATCTTCATTCAGAAGGGTAAACAGGTTAGTATTGGAAGTAGAAGACGGGGAACAGGACAGGAGCCTTCCACAGAGGGCCTCTGAAGGACTGTACCCAGCAGTATATCTGAGAATCATAGCTAAACTTTGGACAGCGTGCAGTGAATCTTACGGAAGAAGGGAGAGATAGAAAGACCTGGAGCAAGGATAACAACAGATACATAATACCTGGCCCTGAGGTGCCTGCAGAGACCGATACTCCAAGCAAGGACCATGCATGGAGAGGACCTAGATCCTCTATTCAAAGGATGCTGTTCAGTTTCCAAGTGAGTTCCCTAGTAAGGGATACAGGGGCTGTTTCTGACATGAACTCTGTGGCTGGCTCTTTGATCACCTCCCCTTTCAGGGGGAGCAGCCTTACCAGGCCACAGAGGAAAACAATGCAGCTAGTCCTGATATATTAAAAAAAAATTAAATTAAATTATAAAAATTAATTACAGAAATAAAAATTTAAATTATTAAATAAAAAGGCCTGTACTCTGTGTGAGCACTTTACCCAGGGAGAATGTTTTTAACCTTGAAACCACAGACATTTAAAGAATACTCACCTATAAAATCCTAACTGAATGGATGCTACTAGATGCCAAAAGAAACTTTACAAGTTGGGAAAAACAAAACCAGGTTTGAAACATAGGACATCTTATAAGGCCTCTTTTAATGTTTGACTGGAGCTACTATTGTAACCCTTACCTATCTTGAAGAAGTTATTTGATGACCTCACCCAACTTTTGTCTTAAAACTTAGAAAATTGACATTATGTACAGGATCATCTCTTACCTCGTCCAACTGGTGGGAATATGCACCCTGATTTCATTAACCCCTGATGTAGACTGGTCCCTAAAAAAAAAAAAAAATCAATCTTAGCTGCACCTTTCAAAGCATTTGTCAGGTCTAAGTGAGTTCTACAATTCATTCTCCTTCTTGGAAAAATGAGAATCAAATCACCACTAGAATAAGCAGGGGTGTGGGTGATTGATTGTCTCCTCCGTCTCATATTACCAGGTAATTTTCTAAAGACTCCTCTGGTAGTTCAAAAGACATTACTCAGAGTAATACTACCCTTCAAAACCAAATACATTCCCTAGTGGCAGGAGCTTTCAGAATTAAAGGGGATTATATCACTTAACTGCTTGAAAGAGGTATTATGTCTCTTTCATGAAGAAGAATGCTATTTACTATTAACAATCAGGATTAGTCAGAAATGCTAGATAAAATTTAATAGGCCGTGCCCACAAAATTCAGCAGCTATATGAATTAAAGGACTCCTTTTCAAAAGTTTAACAGCAGATGTCTCCCTTGCTTACCTTAGCAGGGGCCTTCTATGTTTTTCCTAGTCCTACTCTTCAGATCTTATCAATAACAATTCTAAATTAATCTGTTTCTTCTTTCCTACATGCTATTAAACTCCAACTATTATGTCAGGGTTTCAGATATATCCTGGAACAACACTGAAATTTCACTCTTGTGGCATGATTATTTGGGGTGAGAATTCATGAACCATTGTAGATTGAGACAGCATGTCTTTGTAATTGGTACCAGATACTTAAGGTCTCTTATGTCTCAGCTTCTCACAAAGATTTGCAAGTATCATTGCTACTCAAGGACAGACAAGGTAGGAAAATAAAGCTGTATACACAAGACTATGAATCACAGGCACATTAATCTGAGGACTCAGCAATCAAGGAAAGCCACTGAAGAGTTGCTCTGGATCATTCCAATTATTATACAAACGTGATCAAGGAGTGAAAAAAGCCAATCAATCATCTGCAACAGCCTAAAAGGATAACCCTTCTTCTAACACTCCTCCCTGCGGCTTTTGATGAATAGAAGTCCCTGCACCTGGAGAGGTAGGACTTTGGTGTGGCCTGCTTACTAAAGCCTGATCTTATCCTGTGGAGTTAGTTGATGTTTCTACTGTCACCGTGCAAGAAAATTAAAATTTCACTGTTAGGGCTCCATCTCTTTCTTACTTTATTCAAGTTACAAAGGGCCCAAAATCACCTCAAAGGAATACCACTGAGACTCTGTGTGTCACAAAAGCATGATTCATTCATGTGTTAAACTATTAAAGTTCAAATGAATTAACGAGTATAAGTAATATGCACCAGTAACTATAAGAAAATTGGATTAATTTATTGAAATTGAAATAGCAGCATCTTTCCAAATATTGTTAAATGACAAAGTAAAGTTCAAATCTTTGGGCAGTTGAATTTAGCTATAAGACTGACGTCTTGATATAAACGCATGAAGGGATATTTCAGATTTGTATAATGATATTTCAGCAGTAACCGTTTCTTTCAGAGCTGTCCTTTGATACTAACTAGCCCCTTCAATACTGCCTCTGAAATTCAAGGAAACAAAAAACAACAACAACTAAAAGGGCAAGCCTAACTGATTAAAAGTTTCACTGGTGAATAATCCTGTTTTGCTTGAGAGAAGCCAGACATCTGCTGACCAGTGCACATTAAAATGGTGAAGGTTTTTGATCTTCAGTCATGTATATCAACTAAGAGAAAATAGGTAAGTTGTCACAATATTTAACTTGCAGAAAAAAAATGAGCTTGACTGAGGAATTCCAGGAACTAATTCCAGAAAACCAAGATAGATCACATGGTTCCTAATAGGGACAAGAAATGCAAAAAGACGTAGGAACGCTGCTGAGTGATGGAGCTTTCTCGGCATGTTCTTCTTGCTGCCATTTGCACAACCGCCTAAAAGCCTATTCACATATTTCATTTACATGAGTTGGGTTTTCTCTCTTTGTTTTGTATTCTTTGGTGTGTGTGTGTGTGAGAGAGAGAGACAGACAGAGACAATGAGAGAGAGAGTTGGTGGGTGGGTGACTGTTCAGTAATAGGGATAAGATGTTTCCTTATTCTTCCAGGATCTGGTACTTGAAAACTCCTGTTTCTTTCCCACCAATTGCCTTCCATTTCTTGGTTTTAGCCAGGCAAGCAAATAGACGGTATCAAGCATAGAGTTTTACCTTTAAAGATATCTTTCAGAGCTTCTAAAAATACTTCTGTTTAACATCCAGTAACATGGTCACTGGCATATTTGATATTTTAAATATTATTAAAAGGCAGTATGTTAGCTAGAGTCTTTGTAAGTCACAAACTTTTGGTACAATTCAAAGTTAATTATTTTCAAACCCAGTTAACTTCAGATATAAAATTCTCTTAGAAAGAGTAGATGGTAGATGATTTAGCCAACCCTGTTTTGCAGGGTTTTGCAGAAATTGACAGAGAAGCATCATAAAGAAAACAAACAAACAAAACAAACAAACAACTACTTTTCAAGATTTAAAAGAGAGAAAAAGACAAAAACATGCATCTCCTCAGGAGTCTAGGGTTCTTCCAACTAACCCTGATATTACTTAGTGTGACTATAGGGACAGGAATTTTTGTGTCTCCTAACGGGGTATTAAAATACTCCTCAATGAACATCCCTGTGACTCTCGTATTTGGGTAGGTTGTGCCCTGCTGAGCATGATGAATGCTCTCTCTCTTGCCGAGCTGGGGACCATCTTCCCTGTGAGTGGAGCATCTTATTACTTCCTCAAACGATCTCTTGGATCCTCTGCTGCTTTTCTCAGTCTTTGGATTAATTTGTTTGCTCATTTTCTAGGCATCGGTGTTCATGTCTTAACAGCAAGTAGTTACCTAATCCAGTCTTTCTCTGCTGGATGCCCAGCTCCAGAGCTCCCAAAGAAGTGTCTGGCTTTGATTATTTTGTGGTCCCTTGGAATTCTGAATTCTCGAGGGATAAAAACAGTGGCTTGGATTCCGACTATCAGCAGTCTGATAAAAATGAGCATTCTTTGTCTCATTTCTCTAATTGGAGTAGTGCTGTTAGTGATTGGGAAAAAGGAGAATATAAGCAGGTTTGAGAATGCTTTGGACGCTGAACATCCTGATGCTTCACAGACTGCAGAGGCCATTCTTCAAGCGTACTATTCATACTTCGGAGCAACACTCCTAATCAACATAGCAGGTAAAGCCATTCATAAAAATATCTGCCATGACACAGAAGGGTTTGTCAATAGCAGGTAAATTCATTCATAAAACTACACAAAATTTGAGAGAAAAATTAATATTATCATTTCATATTCTGTAGTGAAGGCCAATCTTTTCCATAATGCAGTTATAATTAAATTACCTGTATATATTAATTCATATAGACTGTATAGAGCTTAATTTTCTTTAAGTTGTGTCTTTCATATAAAATTTGGGAATGCTATGAATTTTCAAACTAGAATTGAGATTACTCTATACTCTCTATTTTGTTTCAAGTAATAGCACTGTCTTGAATTAAGTAGTAATTATATAAGACATGAACTCAGTGACTGGTTCTTTGATCACCTCCCCTTGATGGGGGAACAACCTTACCAGGCCACAGAGGAAGACGATGCAGCCACTCCTGAAGAGACCTGATAGTCTATGGTCACATGGAAGGGGAGGAGGTCCTCCCCTATCAGTGGACTTGGACAGGGGCATGAGAGGAGATGAGAGAGGAAGAGTGGGATTGGGAGGGAATGTGGGAGGGGCCTACAGCTGGGATACAAAGTGAATAAACTGTAATTAATATAAAAATTTTTTTAATTATAGAAAAGACATATATTAATAAGCTCACAACTGTGAAGCTATCACAGGCTAACATTTAGTGTATTCTACCTCAACTTCAAAATGTGTTCTGGGTATTCCCACATACCCACCCTCTCATGCTTATTGTGAATCATCACTCTTAGAGTATTTACATTGAAAACTACATTGTACTTTCTTGTATATTTGTCACTGGGTTTAATAAAATACCAGCTAAATTTTATTGTACTATATGTCTTACAGCACTTTGTTTGGCTCTTTAGGGCTATAGATTTTTTTATGTTTAGCCTATATTATACATCTAATGTCCACTTATAAAAGAGGATATGCCATGTGTGTCTTTCTGCTTCTGGGTTACCTCACTCAGGATGATCTTTCCTAATTCCATCCATCTGCTTGAAATTTTTATGAAACCTTTATTTTTAATTGCTGAGTAGTATTCCATTGTGTAAATGTACCACAATTTCTGTATCCATTCTTCAGTTGAGGGACATCTAGGTTTTTTTCAGATTCTGGCTACTATGGATAAAGTTGCTTTGAACATAGTTTAAAAAAAAAGTCTTTGTAGTATGATTGAGCACCTTTCTGATATATGCCCAAGAGTGATATAACTGGATCCTGAAGTAGCAGTATTCCTAATTTTCTGAGGAAAAACCAGATTGATTCCAAAGTTGTACAGCTTACAGTCCCACCAGCAATGGAGGAGGGTTCCGCTTTCTCCATGTCTTTTCCAGCATGTATTGTCACTTGAGTTTTTGACCTTAGCCATTCTGATGGGTGTGAGGTGGAATCTCAGGATCATTTTGATTTGCATTTTCTGGATAACTAATGACATTGAGCATTTCTTTAAGTGTTTCTCTGCCATTCTATATTCCTCTTTTGAGAATTCTCTTTTTAGCTTTGTAACCCATTTTTAGTAGGATTACTTGGTTTATTGGTGTTTAACTTCTTCAGTTCTTTATATATTCTGAATTATAAGTTGAGGGCGGGGACTTCAATTGGGACATATAATGAATAAATTGTGAAGAAAAAAAATTAAATTGGAGAAAATGACCTGATTGTAATATGGAGTCTCTAAGTGCAAAAATTATTGTAGAATATGGAATAATTTATCAAAGGACAGACCTTAATATCAGAACACAAATTCTTGAAATTGTGGTGATCTCACTTTGATGAGACTCTTTGTTTACACAAATAGATCAATACAGTTTTCATATGAAAAGATGCTTAAAGACTTTAGCAATTTCTTAATGTACTATTGTTATTTTCTTAAGAGTTTTTTCTATGTGTTTTGATAATATTACAATGCCTTACTCCAAATCTTCCCAGATCTTTTCCTTCTTCCCTATCCACCCAACTTTGTGTCCATTTTTTTTTTCTAAATCCTTTAATACCACCTTGAGCTGCCAATAATCTTGGATATGTGGTCTCCCATTGTAGTGTGGCAGCTTGCCAGAGGCTACACTCTTAGAGAAACCTGTTTCTTCCCCTCCAGGAGCTAACAGTTAGTTACTACTCCCTGAGTGGCGGTGGGGCTGGGTGTAGCGCTCTCCTCTCCATGCTGGAATTTGCCCTGTCTTGGGTTTGCAGGAAGTTTGTACTCATTTTAACAAACTCTGTGAGTATAAATGTCAACTGCCCTGCTGTGTTCATAAGGTAATGTTTTCTTTTCTTTTTTTATTAACTCACAAACGTAATGTTGAAATTTGTACATTGTTTCTAAACATTCACCAACTAGTTTCTTCGACCCTATTTAAAAAAAAAAAAAAAACCTTTATTCTATTTCCACGTGTTAACTGAAATGCTAACAACATGTAGGAAATTCAACATATGACGTTTCACTCCTGGATCTTGATTCTCCCTCTGACTTATAATAGTGATAGATTTTTCAATATGTTACAACCACTTTTGCTGATGACCCTCTGAAAAGTATCATGTTGGATAATAAAAAATTTAAGATGAGTACAAGTTGTAGAGAAGCTTGTATTTGTAAACGTAAGTTTAGTTGAACAAAATTTGAAATATGATTTGACAGTATAATGTATACTGTCATGATCATAATGCTCTATCATTCATTTTAATGAGTAACATTTGAATTTTTAATGTTGTATTATTTCAGACCATTAAGTGTTTTTATTAGTTCTCTGAGGATTTTGTAATTGTGTTTTGATCACATAACCTTCTCCACAACTCCTCCCAGATCCACTCACACAACTTTCTCTCTTTTATTTTGTCAACTATCAAATCCAACTTGTGCAGCTATATGTTCTTGAATATGAGGTCTGCCACTATCACCTGGTTGACTTTCAAGGGGCAACATTAGTTTCCCCTTTTTTATTAAAAATAAATCATTTTCTCATACAATATACCTTGATTATGGTTTTCTCTCCTGTACTCCTCCCATTTCCTTCCCCCCTCCATCTCTCATCACATCCACTCTGTCTCTTCTGAGAAAAGAACAGACTTCTAATACATAACAACAAAACATAACAAAATAAAATATAACAAAATAAATCAAAATCCATCACATCAAGGTTGGACAGGCAAACCAAGAGAAGGCTCAAGATTGCTCATCCATTGAAGGCTAGGCTCACAATCAAAAATACAAAAGAAGGCAGAAGCATCACAGGCTAATTAATTCACATATTCAGGTATCATATAAAAGTAAAACATTAAACGCTATAATAATATATAATATAAATAACATAATATAAATAATATAATATAATACAATACAATACAATACAATACAATACAATACAATACAATACAATACAATACAATACAATACAATATAATATAATATAATATAATATAATATAATATAATATAATATAATATAATATAATATAATATAATATAATATAACCCAGTACTGGAAAACTCATTTGGTGACAAGAGATAGTCAGTTGAGGCACCATCTCCCTCATTACTTGGAATCTTCATTGAAATTTTAAAGTTTCCACTGTACTAGGTTTTCATAACACCCTTCAAATGTTCCTAAACTCTAGATGTCTCTTTCTACAATTCCCCCTCAACCATATCTCCCATTCCCCTCCCTACCTGATCCTTTTCATTCCATCCTACCTCCTGGACTCAGTAAAATGGATAAAAGCTATTCTATTTCCCCATCCTAAGGAAATACATGTGTCTCCCAGTCTTTTCCTCTATACCTAAGCTCTCTGAGTCTATGTTTGTAACTTTTTATGGTTTATTTAATGGCTAATATCCACATATAAGGAAATACAAACAAACAACCCTTCTGGGTCTGTGTTATCTCACTCAGGATGTTTTTTTTTTCTAGTTCCATTTATCTGCCTACAAATTTCATGGAGTCATTTTTTTAACAGCTCAGTAGCACTCGATTAGGTACATGTACCATGTTGTTATTATCCCTTCTTCTGTTCTGGGACATCTCAGTTGTTTCCAATTTGGGGCTAATGAGAACAGAGTAGTAATGAACACTGTTTAGCAAGTTTATCTGTGATGGGATGTAGTTTCCTCTGAGTATATACCAAAAAGCTGTACAGCTGCATCTTTAGTAGACCTATTCATATCTTTCTGAGGAACTGCAATGCTTATATCTTTTTTCCTCCATTTATTTACTTATTTAATCACTTTACAGACTCTGTAGGTCTTCTTATGGTGCCCTTTACCTCTCTGGCTCCCTCAGTCCTTCCTCAAACTCTTCCACAGCACTCCCCTAGCTCGGACTAATGCTTAGCCTTGGTTTTCTGAATCTGTCTCCATCAACTCATGGATTAACCCTATCAAAAAGCAGATATACTAGATTCCTGTCTGCAAGCATAGCAGAGTAACAATGGGTGGCCCTTTCCCTTGTGGTGTATCTCAAGCTATGCCAATCACTGTGTCTGCCATTTCCTCAGTCTCTGTTCCATCTTTGCATCTATGCTTCCTGTAGACAACACACATTTTGGGTCAAAGGTTTTAAGTGTGGGTTGGTGTTCACCTCCCTCCACTAGGAGTCATGCCTGTACTCCATTTTTTAATTGGGTTATTTGGTTTCTTGGTGTTTAATTTTTTGAGTTTTTTATATTATTTTGTATATTAGCTTGCTGTCAGCTGTGGGGTTGGTGAAGATCTCCCAATCTGTAGACTGCCATTTCATTATGCTGATACTTTCATCTGCTTTACATAATCTTTTCAGTTTTATGAGGTCCAGTTTATTCCTTGTTGATCTTAGACCTTGAGCTGTTAGTGTTTTGTTCAGGTAGTTGTCTCCTGTTCCAATGAATTCAAGGCTTTTCCTCACTTTTTATTCTTTTTTTATTTTATTTTTTATTTTTATTATTAGTTACATTTTATTAACTCTGTATCCCAGCTGTATCATGCTCCCTGATTCCCTCCCAATCCCACTCTCCCTTCCTCATC